GGAAGGATCCCTGCCCTGCTCCTGCTGCCCACACCAGTGCTGGGACAAGCCAGGATGGCGTTGGCCACCTTGGCCACCTGGGCACTGCTGCCTCCTGTTCACCCAAATTTCCACCAGCACCCCCAGCTCCTTTCCAGCCGCTCCTCCCCACGCCTGCAGCGTCCATGGGGCTGTGGTGACCCAAGTGCAGTGCCCAGCACTTGGCCTTGTTGAACCCCATGCTGTAGGTGTGGTAGCATCAGGGGTTTTGGGGTTTTTTTGCTGATAAGCCACGGAGGAATTTTCCCTTCTGCTTTCATCAGGTCTGTGTTGTGTTGCAGGGCATTAAGTATTGATCACCAGCCGTCCTCTGTGCTTCGCAGCCCTGCCATGGCAGCTCTCAGCAGCGATTACCTCTCCAGCCTCCCCATCCCTGACTACCATCCTTCCTACCCCGTGTCCTCCGAGCTTCAAGGTAACCACCAAGGTTGGGTGGCGCATCCCAGGGCCACCAAGACACATGGCTGTGACTTCTTTTTGTGGGCTCTCGTTCTGGTGACACGGGTGTGAATCAAAGGGTCATTAAGGTTGGAAGCGATCATCCAGTCCAACCCAACCCCACCATGGCCATAAACCATGGCCCCCAGTGCCACATCCAGGCACTTCTTGAACCCCTCCAGGGATGGGGACTCCACCACTGCCCTGGGCAGCCCCTGCCACTGCTTGACCACTCTTGCAGGACAGAAATTCCTCCCCAAATCCACCCTAACCCTCCCCTGGCACAACTTGAGGCCATTGAAGCCTTGAGTCCCACGTGCAGTTCCCACTTCACCTGAGTGTTCACACGTGGTCACTGTCTGACCGAGGGTTTTTTTGGCCAAGACCCCTCATCAGAGCAGTTCTTGGTGCCACGGTGTCCCCAGCCGTGCCAGGACGGTGCCACCCCAGCCCTTGGTGCTTTGCTGAGCTTTGCTGGAGCTCGGGTTGGGTCTCAGCCCCCTCAGTGGCTCTGGAGAAGTGAAATTCATTTCACCTGTGCTGTTTTATTGGCTTACGAGGGGGTGTGGGGAAGGAGCAGGAGCTGACAGTGGTTTGGTGCCTGGCACTTTGAGACACTGAACCCCTCTGAGCGCGGTTTCGCTCCCCTTCCTGCCCCCAGTTTTATTTACCATCACAAGATTTGTTTTCTCTCTTTTTTCTAGGCCTGGATTTGTTTTCCTTCCTTCAAAGTGAAAATCAGGTAAGTTTGGGGTTTTTTTGTCATGATTTCATTTTTTTTTTCCTCTTCTTGCCAAATCTGCAGTGTGGCAAACACATCCTGCTCTGCTCTGCCAACCTTCCTCCCTCCTCCATCCCCTTCCTCCCTCCTCCGTCCCCTTCCTCCCTCCTCCATCCCCCTCCATCCTCATCCTCCATGGGAGCTCCTGCAGGACAGCAGTGGAGGTGCCAGGTTTGGGCCCCGTCCATCTCCACAGGGAGACCTTGGTCTGCCCCATGGCTGCAGGAATCCCGGGCTCTTGCCCCTCTCTCAGTCCCCGCTTCCTCGAGCCCCTGCCGTGCTCAGCCAAATTCAGAATCTCCAAGGGCTCAGAGGGGGAATTATTTTGCTTCTCTGAGGCTGAATCCCAGCATCATTAAATTTGGAAAAGCCCTCTAAGATCACCCAGTCCAACCCAGCCCCACCATGGCCATAAACCACGGCCCCAAGTGCCAGATCCAGTCACTTCTTGAACCCCTCCAGGGATGGGGACTCCACCACTGCCCTGGGCAGCCCCTGCCAGTGCTTGACCACTCTTGCAGCAAGTAAATTTTTCCCAATATTAAATCAGCACCACTCCATTTTCTCTTTGCTTCCAGATGAAGCTCCTGCTTCTCGCTGTGTTTGCCCCGCTCTCCGTGACCCGCTGTAAGGAACGCGCCAGGCTCCTGGCGTCCACATCACCACAAAACGGATATGCTGGGCATATCTTTTTTTTTCCCTCAGCCGCTCCCCATCATTCGGCTGCTCCAGACCCATCTGGGAGCTCTCCCCATCCTCTCTGGGGTGCATGGGGCCGGGATTTTGGGGCTCCCCGGAGCTGACGGCGTTTCCTCACCTTGCAGCATTACAGCCCGTCCGTCATCACCTCCCTGGACGAGCAGGACGCGCTCGGCCGCTTCTTCCAGTACCGAGGCGCCTCCAGCCACTTCCTCAGTGTCGCCCCCCTGTCCCCGGCCGTGGGGGGGTCCCACGGCGCCCGCGTCAGCAGCGTCGTCACCGCCAGGGACAGCCCCGCG